AGTTGTTAAGCATCATTTTTCGAATTGATGTTCTTGTTTCTTCTTTAAATTGCACAACAAGTTCGTGTATTATTAGTGCCACTGTGTCGCTAAGATATTCATCTTTCTTTTTCTTCAGTCTCATCAATTAAATTTGATCTCAACAAAGCACGTAATTCTTTTTTCATTACCACATGCGATTCTAACAGAATATTTTTCTTTTTTTTTCCTACTATATAGACGCTTGTGTTTCTATTCTTCCTGATTTTACAACGCAATTACATCAGAACGAACGAAACAAATTCTGAAGCACGCACTCACTGAAGAAATGACAGGAAATCCTATAAATCTTTTTCTGAAGACCAAGGGGTAAGAGTTAGAGGTACGCATGAATTAGTTACTGACAGGGGAACATTCCCAGGTGCAGAAGGCGCTTTTCACCCGGGTTTTTGCGCATCTTGTAGCACACCGTGAGTTGTGTCTATGGTAAAAAAAGTTCGGGTTTCTGGCTTGTTTCTGTGGAGATATCGAGCTTCTGGTGAATTTTCTCTATAGTACGCCTACACTGGCAGCAAAGCTATACTTTCAAATTTTGATCGGAAACTTTGCCTGCATAAAGACCTCCGTTAGACTATTTTGCATAAAAAATTTCAGAAGTTTTGAATAAAGTCTCCCTAAGATATGAAACGATCAAGGTACAATCTGTTTTTCATAAATAATACATATAGTATGCATTTTTTTCAAAGCTTCATATCTTGAAGAAATTTTGTCCAAAACTTCTGAAATTTTTTATGCAAACTAGTCTAGCTGAGGTCTTTATGCAGGCAAAGTTTCAGATCAAAATTCAAAAGTATAGCTTTGCTGCCAATGTGGGCATACTATAGAGAAAATTCACTAGAAGCTCGATATCTCCACAGAAACAACCCAGAAACTCGAACTTTTTTTACCATAGACACAGCTCACGATGTGCTACAAGATGCGCAAAACCTCGGCTGAAATGCGCTCCTATACCTGGGAAGGTTTCCTTGTGAGTTGATTTTTGTTCGCACTATTTATTCAGAATGAGCTTCTATGACAAAGTTTATAACTAGTTTAGCATTTAATTTATTGTCGGAAGTTTAGATAATTCATCATGGATGCACTAACATCAGAAATCAGTAACGAAAACGTCATTTCATACGGAGTCGATTGGAGTGATCGTGCTCATCCTTCATCTCATTGCTGGTTTCGTTTTACATCCGATGATTCATCAACTGCTCACCCATGTGCTTACGGTTCATGTGCAAAGGGGCAGCAAACAGGTCAATCAGCACTTCTACAATGTCAATCATGTAATCTGATAATGCATGCAC